TTTTGAGGCGCTGATACGAGTAGTCGCTAGCTGATGAACATTATAAAAACAGAGATCGATGAGGTCAATTTTATTCTTCGTATATCATTAGGATAGCAATATATCACTCATCGGATAGTGATATTAACGTGATAGCTTTAATGTTGTTGTTCTGTGATCATTAACTCAATGTATTAGAATACCGCTCTGGTATGAAGGTTTAAGACAAATATGTAAATTGTGATAAATCAAAACAGTGACAATATTGCGATCGTTTTACGATTGATCAGATCACGAAAACATTACCTTTCGTATACAATTCAATCTTACATTGATGCACAATTGTTTACTGCGTAAATATGCCATTCGTATACAGTGTACGAAGTATGCATAGTAAGTTTTAAAATTCAGGAAAAACTAGAAACGATAGCCCTCTAATTAAACTAGAATGACTTTTGAAATTATAACAGAATGGAGAATCAATAGGCAAAAACGATGTTGATCAATGAGAGCGCGACTATAGGTGGATCACTGAGCAAGAGCACGTTATGAGAAATACTTTGAAAGTAAAACAGATTTTGATTATCTCAACTCTGCTATCCATTAAACATGTTTGTGTAGAATATAAATCGATGCATTCATTGCTAAATGAGTGATGCATTTCAATAGCCGATTTGTTAACGACTTGTTAAATTTGAACATTTCATTTGCATAAATAACATTATCGATTTCCCCGCATCTTCATACGTGTTATACGACTAGAACAGACATATTCAATGTCATATGCTCGTATTGATTGTTCAATTGCTTTTTCAGTTGCTGTTAGCTGCAAACGAAAGCTATAATAGGTTTATACGCAGAGAAGATTCGCAAATCCAGTTGTTCACATTCAAAAACGACTCATTTACATGTGCTAGCACACATCATAAAACTCGCGGCTGAGCCAACAATAGAATAAACATCAGTGATGTAACACGAGATAACATTTCAATGAGAAACTCTCAAAATAATTCTCTGAATTGAACAGCAATCATTTCAGTAACTATAAACAAGTGATGTTTTCCTTGAGAGTTTATAAGCGGAATCGATTCGTTGAAGGATTGACGGTGAGAATATTGATTCGCCTCTGCCCAACTGATTNTCAAAAACGTCAAATTAGGCATACAATTAAAATACTTACACTGAGGTTATACCTCCTCTTGAATTTCACATAGTAGATATTGATAATCGCACATATACAATGCTTTTTTAATCGCGTAAAACCCAAATCACTTGCGAGTATCAACAAATCAACAAATAGTTTCAAATTATCTGCATGCTGAAATGCAATAAAGTCATACTGATATTTGAGAAAGTCTCCAGAAACATTGAGAAATATCATCGAGCGTGAGACCAATTTTTTTTGGTTTATACTGTTTTGTTCCTTTCTGATATAGATAACCAATGAAATTGCGCAAACCAACTCAACGAATTTGTTTATCCACTTCGAAAAAATTATCCAAGAGCACGCCACGTGATATATTGATATAATGATTGCAGAAAGAAAGTAGTTTAAAGGAAAACGTTAAGCTCATGACTGACATTGAATAAATACGCACAAAGTTGCGTTTGCAGCTGATTTTTGAGTTCTTCCAAATATCCGAATTGAAAATATCGTCCAAAGGTGATCAATTGACGTACAAACGAACAATCCGCTTGTTTTGTATCTAGCGAAAATACACCAACATATATAAACTTCAATACCTGAAAACTTTCAATGCTGAATTTGGTGTGAAACTAACAGCAACTTCGAAACATGTGGAAAGCTTTCGATGTTAACTTAAAGTGGAATGCCGAAGTACGAGGCTTTCGAAAACGCTTTCGTTGTTTGAGATAAAGACAGGAATGTTGGATGGCTGACCTGTTCAACAGCTGCACGAGTGAATTCTAAATGACATTCAGATGACGGTTGAGCTTCACTGGAAAACTGTTTTCGAAAACGTGGTGATGCAACGAATAGCAGATGTTTCGACGTTTTCAGCTCACCGTCCATACAAAGCAATTTGTAATCACTGGAACTGTTCGAATTTCCTTTCTTGTCACATCGAGAAAACACAAAATGTTTCTTGAAATTAGATTATTTTCCTGGAGTGTTAGGAATTCGTTGGTATAACATTGCGGTATAAAGTATTTTGCGGATGCGAAATCCAAGACGAAGAATAACGGAATAGTGAATGGGGAACAAAAGTGATCCATTAAAATGACCATTTTCGTCAAGTATTGACGCAAAAAATAAGTTCACCAGAAACTAACGTTAACGATTCGTAATAAGAGATTAATGAGCAAGCAAGCAAGTTAACGCAAAAATTAGCGTCGCTGATAGTGAATCTACGATCACGCGCTAAGTATCTCGACCAAATTAGTGTTTAATCTGCTGGAGATGCTTTGTGCATTGAGTGTATAGCCGGATAAATGTCATTATGGTGATAGATGTGCTTTGGAATTATTGAAAGTTTGAACGTGCAACTTGAAAATTCACCAGTTCATCGTTTCGAGTGCTTTCGATCGAAAATCATTCGGAGTGATCGGATCCGCCAATTTACAACAACAATTACAGCAATTACTGAAGTCCGTTTCGAATTCTTGCCTTGCGAAACGCATTCCAATTGTGATGTGCACACGTTTTCCTATATTCAAATGACCCATTAAAATCGTTGGCGTCATCCACTACCACAAGCTATGAGATATAGACCTGCGTTACACTTACTTTTAGTCATTTCCATGCGATTAGTGCAAATCAGAATAATCGTCTGAGTGGAGTTGCTTCAGCAAAATACGAACTGATCGTGAGACCGACAGTGTTTATAAGATTCCTTCGAATGCAATCCTCGAATGAGGTGCTATGATAGCAGTAGTGCTCTAAAGAAATCGCTAGCTCACCCAAATAATTTCTACTTCGGAATATTCGGTCAAGCTGATCGGCGAATTTCGTTTGAGTTGGCACACGATAGGTTATCCGTTGTGAATTTTGCTCAACGTTCTTCCTTGCGTCCACTTCGATCACCGATGAGTCTGACACTAAAAAACGCCCGTGAAGGAATTCATTTACCAGTAGTGATGGTCGATTTTTAAAGAAAAGTGTTACTCATTCATTTTAAACGACTGGAGCAAAAATTTTTGAGGTGCTCATTGTTCATGAGTTCAGTAAGAGTTGCTCGTCAAATGCTGACGACAAAAGCGTAATTGTGGTTGCTCACACTCGGGAGCATGAGCCGTCCTCTGCTCAGTCTCATATTTTGTTGCTCACACGTTCATGAGTCACTCATCACCACTCTACCACACTAACAGTGAGTTTACCGTAAATATTTCCACTCAAACAAAATTTCTGTAGTCTCATGGGAGTATCATTGTTCAGATCAAAATTAAGTCCGCCGAATCGGAGCCATTCTACATCATTTTATAATTACCATTTGCATGCTCAGGTGTAACGCCAAAATCGTCGAAATGCGTCGAGAATTGATCGCATTCACAAATTTTCAAAGTCAGTCTACACCGATCTACCAGAGGATGTTGCCGNATTGGTTCAATGACCATTTCGACTGAATATTCACCGACATTACCCACCGAGAAGTCTCGATATATTCGTGCACACCTTCAAATATCACGTTGACTGTTACGTTCGTAATTCGTTTATAGCATTTCTCTTATGAATGCTTCGGTCATACTTTGCATTCATGACACCTTTACCTGCTCGAAGATATTTTAAGACTAACGCTTTCATATTGAATCACTTATCCAGTCATGAGCAATTATAAAACTAAATGTATTATATACCATTGCAAAGCCTTAAGATGCATTGTTATTATTACGATTATTATCAATCATCATTGTTGAATGTTATTAAGAAACACCTAACCATTCATAAATGTCGTATCGATAAGAAGTGGCGAATGAAATTGC